TGAAACAACGTCCGGTAGCCCTCCCTGGCCTTGAACTTGCTATACAGACAAGGCTGGCCTTGAACTTCTGATTAGCCTGCCTCTATATCCTAAGTATTGGTATTACAGGTAAACACCATCACACCCAGCTACATTATTAAAAGATAATTATTACAGTTCATCATCTCAGACTCTGCATTTTTTTGTTGACCCATTTCTCAAAACTCTGTGAAGAAATTAAGACAAGTTCAAATTAGTCATCTTTAAACTCACAGCACCATCTGATACTCTTCAGTTGTCAGTATCTAATAACTCAATGCTAGACAAGCCCTAGGGTCATGAGCTACATTTATGGAGAAGAAATGTGCATTGTTTTTCAAATAATTGCACTCAAATTAAGCATTTTTCTTTTTGAAAAAAAATCCCTGTATATACACACATACTTTAAGCTGTATCTATACCATGTTCTATCCTGTCTTTGAATTTCCTTCCCACATGTGTTCTTTCTGTAGGAAGATTTTGACATCTATAATGGAAGATGTTCTGCAGGCAGAGTTTCATTTCAGTCTTGCTACTGTTGATAAAAGAAATTGTTTTTTTTTTAATTATTTGTTTTGTGTGTATGAAGCTTTGCCCTGTACACCTGTGTATACAATGCCCACAGAGGCCAGAAGAAGGCATTAGATCCCCTGAAACTAGAGTTAAGGGCAGGTGTTAGCCACCATATGGGTGCTGGGAACTGAACCATGTCCAGCCCTAAGTAATTGTTAATTTAAACAATTTTTGTGGTTGGTCTGGCAAGATGGCTCAATCAGTAAAGGTGCTTGCCACCAAACCTGATAACCTGACTTTGATCTCTGGGACCCATATGTTGGAAAGAAGAGAATTGACTCATAAGTTGTTCTCTGACCTCTGTATGCATGCTCTCAATCTCTCTCTGTCTCTGTCTGTCTGCCTGTCTGTCTGTCTGTCTCTCTCTCTCTCTCATGCCTTCTCTTAATAAAATGTGATTTTTTTTTTTTTTTTCTTGAAACAGGGTCTGTGTGGCCCTTGCTGGCCCGGAAATTGCTATGCAGACCAGGCTGACCTTGAACTCAGAGATCTGTCTCCTTTTGCCCCTCAAACACTGGGATTTAAAGGCATGTGCCACCATTTCTGGCAAAATGTAATTTTCTTAAAAAAAAGGTTTTTAAAAAGGTTTAGTTTTTATTTTATGCCTATGTGTGTATTGCCTGCATGGAGGTAAGTGTACCTGTGTCATGCATTGCCCGTGGAGGTCAGAAGAGACTGTTGGATACCCTGGGACTGGAGTTACAGGCAGTTGTTAGCTGCCATGTGATTGCTGGGATTCAAACCTGGGTCTTCTGCAAGAATAGCCAGTGTTCTTAACCACTGAGCCATCTTTCCAGCCCTACCTTTTTTTTTTTTTTTTTGGTCCTTTTGAAACAGAGTTTCCATAGCCCCAGCTGTCCAGGAACTCACTATGTAGACCAAGATGGCCTTGAACTCTTGAACTCACAGAGATCTGCTGCCTCCCAGGCACTAGAATTAAAGGCGAACACTACCACACCTGGCTTAAAAATTGTGTTTTTGTTTTTTGGTTTTTTTTTTAATTCTCAATATGTGTTCATAAAGTATAAGCCTTTTACCTGATTATGATGAGATCATTTATGTCTTTTTAGGTCACCAAACGTGATGAAGACTCTTCTTTAATGCAGTTGAAAGAAGAATTTAGAACCTATGAAGCTTTGCGGCGAGAGCACGACTCCCAGATAGTACAGATTGCTATGGAAGCAGGCTTAAGAATTGCACCAGACCAGTGGTCCTCTTTGCTTTATGGAGACCAGTCTCACAAATCTCATATGCAATCTATTATCGACAAGGTAGGATCTTTTTTTGTACTTTACTTAATAGACTAATCTTAGAGTCTTAGGAATTAATGACTTGGCAATTTAATAAATGAATATTAAGGTGAAGATTATGTATTGTGCTTTTGTGAATTATATTCACTATAAGTATTATAACATAGGTTGTCCTATCAGAATGATAGTTTATATAAACATCTCTTGTTCCAATGTTTTAACCAGTGCTTTCCCATAAATTTTGAACATTAAACACTTTTAAATACCTTTATCATATTCCCATAGCAATCTTAATGATCTGTCAGATCTGTATATTAAGATTATGATTCTCACCCAGAATAATTTTACATACAATAAAGTTATCATGCTAAGTTTAATGAAATTTTCAATAAACTTATTTTTACTTTACTGTCTGTTATAGTGAAAAAGACCATTAAAATAGATGTTAATTTTTTTCTAGCTATGTTATTTATATCTGATAAAAAAACATGCATTTCTCTTAATACTAGAGGAATATTTTAACCAGAATCCATATTACATTTATTTAGAAAAATAGTGTCACTCTTAAAAGTGACTTAAAAATAATAGGTAACATTTTCTAAATGCTTGGTGATTTTAATACATTTCCTCTCAACAGCCTGTATTATCCCTTTTATACAGAGACAGAGAAGTGAATTACACTTTGTAAATTACCTAGGTAATTAATGATAAAGTTGTATTTGAACCTTGGCATGCTGACTCTAGAATATGTTCTTAACTATTAAAACCTCTTATCAGACTACTCTCTCTTTCCTCATTGTCTCAAACATGAAACTTAAACAAAATATTTTGTTATTTTTATTTTATGTGTATGAGTGTTTTGCCTGCATATATGTAAGTGCACCACATGCGTACAATGTCTCACAGAGGCCAGAAGAAGGTGTTGGATTCCCTGGAACGGGAGTTATGGACGATTGTTAACAGCCATGTGGATGCTGGGACCTGAATCCAGGTCGTCTGGAAGAACAAGTGTACTTAACTGCTGAACCATCTCTCCAGCCCCTCAAACATGAAACTTTTTGAGGGACTAATAGATTGGAGAATTGAAAAAAGAGTTTTGTAGCTGGGCATGGTGGTGCATGCCTTTAATCCCAGCAGAGACAGCAGATCTCTGTGAGTTCAAGGTCATGGTATACATAGTGAGTTCAAGGCCAGCTGGGGCTACAGATAGACCCTGTCTCCAAAAAAAATAAATAAATAAAAGCACATCACGATTCTAATGATAGACATATTAGTTTCCATGTTTTAAAAATTTATATTTTTGCCCGGTGTGGTGGCGCACGCCTTTAATCCCAGCACTTGGGAAGCAGAGGCAGGCGGATCTCTGTGAGTTCAAGGCCAGTCTGGTCTACGTAGTGAGTTCCAGGACAGCTGAGGCTACAGGGAGACCCTGTCTCAAAAAGGACAAATATATATATATTAGTTTTAATTACCTTTACAGAATGACCTTTTGAGGGAGGAAAATGGTCCTCTGTATAAATAATCCTTCATAAAGAGCTAAATGTTTTCAAGTAAAATCTTGTAGTTACCATCACAAAATAAGCATTTTCTAGTTGAAATTTGTTTATGAGGGCTGGAGAGATGGCGCAGTAGTTAAGAGTGCTGACTGCTCTTGCAGAGGGCCTGGGTTTGAGTCCCAGCACCCACACAGAGTATAACAAATGTCTATAACTCCAGTTCTAGGGGATCCACACCCTCTTCTGACCTCCATGGGCATTAAATGACACGGGTACACCAGCTATGTGCACGTATTACACTCACACACATAAAATAAAAATATAATTTTTAAAAGGGTTCTTTTACTACCTGAAGTACATGTCCAATCACTATCCCTAACTGCTTAGTGTACAGACTGTTAGTATTTATTCTCAGTCAACATGATCTGGAATTATAAGAATGTACTGTTTCCTCCAATACACTCTACAAAATGCAGGTTGAAGCCTTTCATTTCCACAGAAATGATGTCTCTCTATGCACTGTGACTCTATGATGCTACGTGTGTACTTTGTCCAGCCTCTGCTTTTGGCTGGAGATCCCAATGTCTGTTGATCCTAATATTTTACATGACTCAACATTCTGGTAACTACTGTTACCACAATGGTCTCATGCTTTACAGTGCTCTGGAGAGGGAAAACTTGGGTTTTATTCTCATAACTAAGTAGGACACTTATAGATGTATAATTTTAGACAAGGTATGCCACCTCTGCCTCACTTCATAATTCCTAAATATTCAATTCTTCAACAAGAACCTCATCTGCGCTCTCAAAGCAGCCTGAAAATATAGCTTCTTTTTACTGGGTATCTCTCAGTCTGTCTTTTTCTTTATTAGTTCCATCTCCACAACACTTCAAATTTAGCATCTGAGGGCTCAGTCTCACCCATGGCCTACTTCACTTTATTGGGTGGGGAGGCATACTGTATTATAGTAATGTAACTTATCATCATCATATCATCATCATATCAAGCACTCAGCTGCATCAACACTTCTTGTTCCTGAGACTACAGAGAGATTTACCCTTTCTCACTTAAGTCTAATCCTGTGAAGTGGCTTTCAAACTATATATTTGGATCTTTTAAAAGACCTTAG